AATTATTGATATAAGAATGTGTTGGGTGGCTGTAACCCAACTATGGTTGAGTTAAATTATTTTTTTTAAAAAAAATTGGTGTGTTACAACTTTTGCATCCACTCATGTAATTTTATAAGTATTTATGTCATTTTTCTCACTTTAGGATATTGGGTGCTTCTGATTGACCACTTTGTGGATATTTTTACCTTTTTATCTTATATTCTTTACTAGTCAATGTTAATTTTGTTCTGTAGATCAAATAAAGTGATAGATGATGAGGGAATGTCGCATCATAACAGGCCATTCATGAGGGGATATGTTATGATTGGAAAAAGAGAAAGAGAGAAATATAGGAGTGAAAGAGAAGGAAAGAGGAAGAAAGAAGCAAAAATAGGAGAGAGAGGAAGAGATAAGAGTTGAGAGAGAAAGAGAATTAGAGAATAGGGAGAATTGAACTATGTTCTATATTTTTGATTTTGCATAACATCTGACTACACTTAGGATCCCTTATATAGGCTCATTCATCCCCTTATCCTAACAGAATCTAACTAACCCCCAACTAACTAAACTATTCTTTATTTATTTATTCTTTACATATTATGATATTAGATGTTAGAGAGATGTATTTGAATGTGAAAGGATAGTGATATTTCTTTTGTACATATATATTATGAACATATACTTGTGATCAATAGATGCTTAAAAGTGGGTAGTATTTTAAAGGAATAACCAAATATTGTTCTTGAGATTGGACTACAACTTATTTGATTTCTACACCCAGTTTATTTGTGCAATTACTTCAGCAAACCTTAATATTATATTCATCTTACAGATTTCTCTCCACTTGAAGATATTATTTCAGCCAAAGGAATTTAGCTCAACACTTGTTTAAGTGCTGGAATGTAATGTGTGAATTTTGTGGTGCCTGTTTGATGAAAATGGAAACCCAAGTTACAGCCTGCTATTTGACCTTTCTCAAAAAATTATCTTGCTGACGGGGTGAGATTTCCATTTTTGCATATTTATTTTTTACTTTGGTATTTTTATTTTCAAAATTTTCACCTCATCTCCCTTATGCAGTATGGATCAATGTTCTTTATTTCTTAGTAGTTTGTTGATCTATTTTTCTGAGTTTGTTTTGAATCCCACATCTTGCATCGGCATTCCTTCAAATCTTCTTCCCTCTTTCGTTTTTCTTTTCTACAGAAGCCTGTGTCTTCTGAACCTGGTGAATTGGCACGTGGATCGCTTCCTTCATCTTAATAGAAGTATTCATCTGAAATACATATCGATAACGAAAGTATTTTTGCATCTGTTTTTCTCTGTATGAGGCCGATGTTTCTATTGAGTTAGAAGTAAGTCCACAAGTCTTCCCTTGCAGAACAATTTAGTTTATCTTTATAAGTAATGAGAAAAAAAATGAAGCTTGTGTCAAATAATATTTTTATCCAAAATGAAAGGGCAGCAAATTTTGCAGAACACAGAGGAGTTAAAAGAAGAATTAAAATAAATGCATCAAGCATAAGTATGATCTCCTTGGGAATGGAGTATTCTCATGTGATATGGTATGAACTCTTGCACAAAGCAGGCTCCAAATTGGTTTCTTTGAATGATTCTTAAATGCATCGAAGCACAAATATAATCTCAGTAGCCTTACCATCAATTTTAATTTTTTGTCAATCGTGTTTGATCTGTTTTCAACAAATTATTATATGTTTTTCGTGTTATTAATCTGCAATACTATTTTGTTGATATATGTCTATATATCAATGATAAACAAGCTAGTAAGTTTTCACTGATATGGCTAATATATTGATGATATATAATGGTGTGTTATGGATATACTATTGTAGATCAACATAATTAGACAATCATACATAAACTTATTTATCATTGATATATAGTGATATATCAATGATATAGTATTACAAATTGGTAACATGAAAAATACATAATCATTTGCCTAAAATGGATTAAACACAATTCACAAAAAAATTTAAATTTTTAACTTATCATAGAGAATCAAATACCCGAACTAATAAAATAAAAAATCTTGAATCTATAGCCCTGTTCCCCTGCTGGCGTGCTTCATTTTGTCAACGTCTCTTGCCTCGCGTTTCTCTCTCGCTATCGTGACTGTGGCTTGCTCACATTGCTCTGCTTTCTTTCGTCTTTGAGTTGTTTCGTCCATCATAACTTGTATTAATTACAATGTAGAGTTGCACCAAAAATTTATACTGGTTTGGTTCGAATCATAAGACAACATTTCGAGTTGTGAAATCCTCATTTCTCACACCTACTAGGTGTTTTGCAAACCCTCTTAAAGTTCCCACAACCTTGCGAACACTAAACAAGAATCATGATTAAATGTTTTACAACAGAATGAGTCTCTCTCAAGAGATTGGACTATACAATGAAACACAGTATATGAGGTAGTTAGAACTGTGTAACTCAAGATAAATGCAGGATTGAATAAGGCTTCTATTTATAGTTTTTGTTACATTATGTAGCTGTATGTTAGGCATGAATTCTAGACGTTATTCACAAGAACTTGCCGTCGCCGTTGGGGTGTATTACATGCACTTGTCAGGAAAAACAAGTTCTAGTAGTCAAGCATTAATATACATTTTAAAAAAAAAAAAGTCCCAACTTATACAGAAACACGATAGTCAAATATATACTGGAAAAATATTAATGAAGTATTGAAGGCAAGAAATCAATTTTCTCAAAAACAAAGCCTCTCATATTTGAGTAAGAAATAACTAGTAATCAACTAACCATATTGTAACAATCCAAAAAATGATTATAAAAAGTAGAATGGTAATAAGATAAATTCATTGCATTTTCATTATTCATTGCTCTCGCTTGAAATGTCTAGTGTTCACTGTTCAAATCCTGGTCTTGCCAGAGGAATATTTATTTTCATTTTAGCCTGTTTTGAACGAAATTACCGTTTTACCCTTAAAAAAAATAATCTGGAGAATGGAGAGAAATCAGGACAAGATACACGCGTTCAGCTCCTCTTTTACCTTTCATTAATTCTGCGAGCACTCTGATCTTGCTCTGATTTGCAACAAGTGTACGAAAACCCTTACCCTTCATCTCAGATTTCCGACCTTCTTCTTCCATTTAACTCGCCGTCGACGGGTGCCGGATCGTTCGCGGCTGCTGTGACAACCTGCCGCGAGTCCTTCCCCTGCTTCACCGTCATTTCTCTGCTCACCTTCCGTGAGGTCGTGGTGAGTGCGTGGGCGTCTTCTTCCTCGTCTTTGATTCTCCGTCTGCCACCCCATGGATTTGAGTTGTGAGTTTTCTCTCTCTTGCTTCTTCTTCGGTGCCTTCGACATTCCTCTTCCCTTTGCTCAGTGTTCTTCTCCCTCCCCTGTTAGTGTTGTGCCATGGGAGTTAATTCTTGGCTATGAGAGGTTCGTTTTGTTGGCCGTCGCTCTTTTCCCCTGTACTTGCCGTCGTTCCTTTCTCCCTGTGTCTGCCAATGTCAACGAAGATATAGAGGTCTTGAGTCCACTTCTCTTTTATTGTTTCTGTGTGCGCGTGTGCCTGATGACTGATGTGGTGATGCTTTATTTTTCTACTATTGTGAGTGTCTGAACAAGGATGATAAATTGATTCAAGCTGAAATTTTAGTCTTAGAGCCAGATGGTAATTAATCAGTTTGATTTTTTATGGAATTAAGAATGATATCCCTGTTGGAAGAAGTGGAATTTGGGATGTTGTTTGATTTAAATGCTTATATTGTAAATTGTTGGGAGATGAAATCAAAGAGGAAGAAGTTTGGTTTGAGTTTAAGAATTAGTGTATGGAAGGTGTTTGACATAATGTCTGTTAGAAGAAACTTTACTTGATTTTGTATATTTTTGAAATTTCATTGATCCTTGTTAGTAGTGTTTTCAATTTGAGTGCTATTACTCTATAAACGTAAATTGAAGATTGCATAGGAAATTTGAGTGTGAAATTAGTATGAAACTATTTGAATTCTCAGAAATAAATAATTGTCAATGAACTATGTGATAAGAGATTTGAATATTAAAAAGCTTTGCTGTGGGATTTGGAAATAATGTACATTTGGGGTTTTGACAAAAAGTTTAATGGGGGATTGTATATTTGATGGAACATTGAGTTATGACTTTGAGGGATTTTTACATGTAGAGTATTGATTTTAAAATTTTAAATTTATTATAGCTAAATTTTGATAGTGATAATGTTGGAACGAAATTATTGAATTTATTGAAACTGTTGGTGTTTGAACATGAAAGACTATGAAGTCCAATAAACCACACTGATAGTTGAATAATGATGATTATATTGGAATAATATTTTAAAAGAAGCAAACATATATGGCACATCAGAATATGTGTAATCAAGTATAGTTCATGGTAATTGACCATCGAACTCTGAGAAGGTGAACTGAGATACAAAGCACAACATGATAGTCGAGTATACCAAGAACTATTTGAATAATGATTTCCCTTAAAAAAAAAAATACTCAACTATTCTTGAACCAATTATCAATTACTTATTGTGTTTAAACCATCTATGCTCTGAGCAGAAATTATAGTAATCAACTAGCATTCATATAGATGTATTTCAAGCCAAAGGCCAAAGCGGGATAGTCAAGTGCTTCTCTTAATACTTGAATAAGAAAAACTAATCAAAATAGTTTAATTTGTTAAGAGACAAATGATAAGTTTAAAGAGATACTTGGAAGTCAAAAGCAATACTTTGACTACTAAAGATTCAACACAGAAAGATTTGTCTCAGAATAATTTCAAAAAATTTTGAAATTTTTTCAAGTCATGGTATGCAGTATTAAAAGAGTACAAAGTCACTTGACCATTCAAACTTGAGTAATATAGCTCTAATCATTTACAGAAGATAGATTCTAATTATAATGATAATAAACATAAGCTTGAGTCTTTTCTTCATGTCAACTCTTGTAAAAAATGCTCTTCAAACTCTGCAAAACGCTCTTTAAGGTTTGGAATAATCAACACTAGAAATACTAACACAATTCTCTTCCAATTTACTTGTAACTATAAAAGTAGGAGTTGAAATACAAGCAGGTAATGACACCTAGAAAGAAAACTGCAAATGCTCCTGAAAAAGTCCATAAGAAGGCATCTCGGAAGCCCACTTCCTCTGAATGATGTGGTTGTATGTTTCTCCCTGATGGATTATCAATAGATGAACACTTTTGTTGTAGAGGAGGACCACAAAGAAAAGGATTCCCTTCATAACAACTTGGATCAAAAGTTGAAAATTGATTCTTCATGTCAGGTGTCTTCCCGGATAGATTATTGTGAGCCACAGAGAATACAGACAAAGAGTACAATTGTGTAAGTTGGGAAGGAATATGGCCTGTCAAGTCATTGTGTGAAAGATCTAAACTCTCAATTTGCATAAGGCCAGAAAATGTTTCTGGAATTGGCCCAGTCAAATAATTGTCTGACATATTTAATGTATGAATATTGTTCAAGTATCCAATTTCTAAAGGGATTTCACCTGTCAATTGATTATTTGAGAGATCTAGGCCGGACATAAAATCTAATATTTTTCCTTCATATGATTCATACCTGTTTTTGGACATGAAGTTCACTTCTTGTTGCTCATACCATGTAGAATTTCTTTCATATTCATCATGAACAAGATCACCGCTTGTGTAATTAAAGTAAAATACCGGGCCTCTTGTTGTCCAAGGGACAACAAATTTTCCTAATAAGGTTCCATCCATCTGATCCTTCTTTGTAAATGTGATGTTATTTAAGCAATGTGGTATCCCTCCAGAAAGCTTATTTTGTGAAAGATCTAGTATGCTTATGTTCTTGAGCTTACACATTTCCATAGGAATGGATCCTTCAATCCTTTAGGAGGAGGACCCTTAAATTCAACAATGACCCAAACCATCTCGGAATTTGACTTGAAAATTTATTCGTTGTCAAATCCAATGTTAACAGCAAGGATGATTTGGCCAACACAGAAGGTATGGATCCCATAAAATGATTGCTCCGTAAATGCAAGTACCTTAGTGATGGCATATTTAGACAATTTGGCATAGTGCCATTGATTTTGTTTTGTGAAAGGTCTAGGTATGTAAGCTCGGCTAAATTACAGAAGCTTTTTGGTATTGGACCTGTCAGAGAATTTTGGGACAAAATGAGGTAACCCAAGTGCTTGAAGTTTCCAATCCAGCTAGGAATTTCACCATATAGTTGGTTTGTACTTAAATCCAGCATTCTTAATTCCAAACTGTTAATCATCCCTTCTGGTACTTTTCCTGTGAAGTTGTTGCTGCTTAGATCCACAATCAACAAATGGGTGAAATTTGAACCAACTGGTAAACATGGGCCAGTTAAGTTGTTGTTTGACAACTTTAGAATCCTCAAGTCATTGATACCCTTACCAAATTCTTGGGGCAAATAGCCAGACAAATTGTTATTAGACAAGTCAAGTGAGTTCAATTGCTTCATGTCACCCAGTGAAGCTGGAAATCCACCTTGTAATGAACTTGAAGACATGTTCAAGGAAAGCAAGTTGGGAAAAATAGAGCCAACATGAGGAGGGATTTCATCATTAATAGGGTTGTAGGAAACATCAAAATATTGCATATCCATAAATCTTGAGGTGGAGTTAAGCTCAAAAGGACCAGTCAAGAAGTTGTGGCCAACCTTAAAAGAATCTAATTTTGTGTTGTTCTTCAAAAGCCAGTTCGGGAAACTTCCTGAAATGTTCAGATAGGCAAGCTGTAGAGCTCTCAAGTCACGTTGATGAAGAAGAAAAGAGGGTACACTACTTTTGTTATTTCTTCCTTCATTCATAGTGCATTTGATGACATTAAAAATCATTAATTGAAAGGAAGGGATGAATTGAGGATTTTCTGTTTCAAGCTTGAGATTGGGGTTATTATAACACGAAATCGAGAAGAGTTGAAGGTTGGAGTGGTTGGCTAATAAAGAAAGCGATGCTATGCCAGTGAAATAGGTTTCTTCTAAAGAAATGAATCTGAGGGACTTTAGAGAATGAAAGAGTGAGGAAGGGAAGGGTCCTTCAAAACCATTGTATTGAAGATCAAGTACCCGAAGAGATGTCAAATTATTGAGGCATGAAGGAAGGTGACCCTCAAACTTGTTGCGTCCAAGAGACAATACTCTTAGATTCTTCAGATTGCATAAGCCACCTGCAACACATAAATTTTGTTTATTATTTCTTTTTTAATTTGTCTATGGGTCTTTATGTGACATCTTAAACTTTGAGATTAGTGGATTTTTTTTTTTTTAAAAAAGGATGGGTGTATATGGGCTAAACCAATTTAAATGAAAATTCGACTTAACAAATGAATTTAGATTAAATATTTGAGCTTTAAAAACATCCTCAATTGTAAGCCAAAAAATGGATATGAACTAACCAAATGTTATGTAACGTTCTCAATCTAGTAGCAAAATATGAAAACAAAATATGTTGGATAGAGGTGTTATGGCCTCAATTTCTCAGTGATGAATACATAAAAGTAAAACAGACAAAGTAGTTACTCAAAATGGCCACTGACATAGAGTGCCATTACAGCTGAGGAAATTAACAAGAAAGGAAAGTGACAGAAGAGTGCAGCAAGAGAAGAAGCACGGAGGGAGCAAGAAAGTCGTACAGAAAGGAAAGTGACTCTCATTAAATAGCGTCATCACACTCCCAAGCCCGTTACTACATAGCCCAATATGATCCTGGCCCATTATTTAGTGTCTCCCAATCAAATCCAAAAGTCTCATTAAGCCTGTTTGTTACGAAATGTTGGGAAATTTAGTTCCAAAGCATAAATAAAGACAGCAAAAAGCCACTAGTGTCTTGGAGCCATTATTCTCTTTCTCCAAAAAATAAATCATGTAAAGTGTACAACACACTTATATAGTTGGGATCCTTTCCAAATCTCTTCAATATGTGACATGACAGTTTCCTAGGACAATTCATGAAGATGAACCCATCGACTAGATAAACTCAAGTTTAGCTCTGATACTGTTTGGTTATGGAGTCATTATTCTTTTTTCAAAAGGTTAACTCAATAGGGTGTACAATGCATACACTTATATGGTTAAGGCTTTCTTCAAATCCTTTTAATATAGGATGTGACATAAAGCCAGCTTTGTATGCATGCATGTAGGTAGGTGGGTTAGGAAACTATACAAACAGAGAATAGGAAGGGATGCAAAACTACTGTTTACATATTTTTATTCAACCTCAATAAATATTTTTTAGGGAAAATTAATATATAAGATCTCAGACAAGTAATCTAAATACAAAAAATACCCTTACCCTAATTTTTTTTTTTAAAAAAAAGAAAGCTGCTGATCATATAGTACCTTGTTGTGGTAGGGAGCCTTCCAGGCTATTTTTATAAAAGGACAACGCCCGCAAGGAGGCTAGAGATGTAAGAGACGCATTAGATTGTTGAAGACTACCCTCCAAAGTCTTCGAATTGCCTGAATGAGAAACACCTGCCAAATATAACATGAAAATATGTTAAAAATATGATAACAAAGAAGTAAACTAGAGATAAAGAAGTTCCAAGTTTAGAAATTAGAAGATATATCAAGAATATATACAGTTTGAGGTGTGTCTAACTCTAATGGTTTAAGCTATTTTAATAAAATAGACTACTCTCAAGCATATTTAGTATAAAGGGTTTAACATTGCATACAACTTGTCTTTTTCTTTTTCTTTTTCCTTCCTATATTCCATTTTGAATAAAAATTAATTTATATATAGATATCCTTGTATCCTTAACGTTGGTTGATGCTATTTCTTAATTTTTATAGATGTCAAAATTCGTTGATGAAGGCACTGGACCTGTTTGGTTTCTGTTCTCATTTTTTTTAAAAAAATTATTTTGTAATACAATTTCGAAATTGTTTTCAAAACAAAATAAAATGAAAATTCATTTGGTTATGTCAATTAAAAACAGCTTTAGAATTGGAAAAAAATAAATTAATAGTGATGGTTATAGGCAGTTAATGATGGTGATTAATCATAAAAATTGTTCAAGGTAACTATAATTTTTAATAATTAAATGTAGTGTATTTTAAAAATAACAAAAATAAAATGAAAATAACTTAAAGTTATTTCTAATTTTTTATTTTTAAAAACAAAAAATGAAAATAATTTTGAAAACAACTAAATGGAAAACACTTATCCAAACAAATTTTTAAATTTTTTTATTTCTAAAACTAAATAACAGTTTTTAAAAATAGAAAACAAACATGCTCTCTTTTACTTTCAGTCATGTTACCATCATATGTTAAGTAAAAGCACCCTCTTATTCAACTATCGATATTCTCAACGATTTTTAATTGAACTTCAATTGATCTCTCGAGGGGGGGGGGATAGAACTAATGAGACCACAAGAAATTTTAAATATGGCATCAAAAAATAATAGAAAAATAAAAATTAAGCACCAAGGAACGGGACTTCCGTGAGCTTGTTTTCTTCCAGATACAAAGTTTGCAAGTTGTCCAATCTAAGTTCTCCAAATAGCCCTGCTCCATTGACAAATATCATCAGTTAATGGGACCACACAAACATGAATTTTCATATTTTTGTGGTCCTATCATTGACTTTCTATTACATCTCCAATAAGATCTGAGAATACAGACAAAGGAGCTATAAGATAATGTTTAAGGACAATTTCAGTCAAGGACTTTTGACTGAATTTAATAAAAAAAAAAACTCCAAATGTTTTGAAACTTTACTGAAGGACCGTACGGAATTTCTGTTGAATTTATAAAAGAAATAATAAAATTATTCTCATTTAAATAAATAACATAAACGATTTATTTATTCTTATATTTTATGTTGGTTATTTACTTGCGTAATGTTCTTTGTTTCCTTACATTTCTTGTTTACAGGCTTACTTTTACTTGATTTCATTTCAAGGGCTATAAACAAGTGAAGTAGGGGAAACAAACAATATTTAGTAAGTAAATGAACAATATATAATATGAAAACGAATAAGTCATCTTATCATGAAACCAGTATGAAATAAAATCAAGTGAAATTAGACCTATAAATAAATGAAGTAAGAAAACGAACAACATTCCGTAAGCACATAAACAACAAACAGTGAGGGAACGAACAAGTCATTTGTGTTGTTCATTTAAATGAGGGTAATTTTGTCATTTCTATTACAAATTCAGGAGCAATTTCGTACGAGTTCTTCAATGAACTTTCAGAAATTCTGGGATCCACTCTTTAATTAAGTTAAGAGTCCCTGACTAAAATTTTCCCTAATGTTCATTCAAAGTTATCTTCTGACTTTGTGTGATCCCTTCTCTATTTAATGTTTTCTTTTTATACCATGAAATATAATGTTTTAATATATATATATATATATATATTAAATTTTGTGCCTTTTAAACACACACATACACATATATATATTTGATACTTTTGATGAAGATGAACTTCTCTATTAAACATAAATACAATGTGTTAAACATGGATGATATGACATTAAACAATGAATTAGATGTTTTTAATTTGATACTTTTGATGAGATAAACATGAAGTTTGTGCCTATATATACCAGATTTTTAATTAATTCAATATTGTGCTCTTCGATAGATTTTAAGGAAAATAATAATAAAGTCCTAGAAGAATGAATTAATGATAGTTAAGTTTCTGACAAAATTTTTTATAAAATAAATTATTACTATCAATTTAAATATTTATAAACAAGAATTTGAATTATAAACTAATTGTTATATTTAAAATTTAAATATCATATTTATAATTAAAACTTTTAAATTTAAAACTGTTTAAATTGACTTTTACAGTTGTTTTTTTTTAACTTTATTGATACTTAACTGTTGTTA